TCTGAGCTGTTGTTTTAGAACAGACTAAAGTTGCTGTTGGTTTCAACTCTGGCTCCTAGTGAAATCTCCTGAAAAGTTTTAAGGATACCAGTGTGAGGTACTATCTTGGACTGATTAAGTGAGGATCTCTGGAAATGGGTCTGATTGCCAGTATCTTCTACCAAACTTTCCAGGTGATTCTATTGGGTAGTTGGACTAAGAGGTCCTCCAGTAGACCAACAGACATAGTACAAATGAAAGAGAACAGAATGATTTAATAGTTACCTTCTTAAAGTTTTAATCTTGCTTAGGAGATGGCTGTAGATCAACAGACTGTTGCAGGTGGGAAAAGGATATGACCAAAAGTGAAAATAATAGAAGGGAACAAGTTATGAGTAGAGGAATGTAGATAAAACTTGGGGAAGACTGGAAATATGTCAAAGCTGTCTCTTTTCAGATAATGTACTGGGGACAATGCAATGGACCTTTAGCAGGGAGAATCCAGGAGAGAAAAACTGGTGGGGCCTCATATGTCCTAAAGAATACTTACCTAAAAATGTATAGAGAATTTATAATTGCTTGTTGGCTGCTTACAAGTGTGTTTAATGTGCAAGTAAAGCAGTTTGCATGTTCCCTTGGTCTACCTTTATTTTTAGTTTTGTCTGCCAATGCCAGGGCTAGGAGAGATAAAAAAAAAATAGAGAAACAAGGCCAAGGATAGTTCATAAAGATTACCAGAATGCTGGGCAAGTATTGTCTGGAAGTATATAATTTTCAAACAAAGTTCTGCCCCATGTTTGAATCACCACATCATTACCAGTGTCTTTAAAACTGAAGCTAGAGAAAGAAGGGGAAGTAGCTCACAGTTTGTATGTGCAGAGAAGTTGAAGTTAACAGGTAGTAGAGTGACAAATAGGGTTAAAAACTAGCTTTCTGTAAAGCTTATTTCATGGTATGCATGGACCTGTGATACCTCATTTGTCATACAGCGGGGCACAATTAGAAATAATTGATAGGATATGGACAGATATGGAATGAATGAAGGTCTTATTACTTTAATCACTTCAAATTACTGTGTTATGCTGAGCTCATGAATGCACCACAACTGGAACAATCAAAGGGGGATCATGAAGCAGGAAAGAACAAAGGTAAGTTGTTGTTTTTGTCTGACACAGGGACATTTAAATCTTAGCAATCGACAGGGCTTCTTACTGTCATCTCAGCATATTGGTGTGGAGTCTATGGAAAGGCACTGTTTTCCTTATTTGGTTGTTCTCCATATCTGTGGGTATGGTTTGTGAGGAACCCTTTCATACTCTGTATTTGGCAATTTACCCCTTTTCTTGGATGTTTGCAGCAGAAGAAGGGTACTGAGTGAATATAGTATTTGCAAAGCCCCACAGGCATGAAGAGCATGGTGCTGGGAGAGGCAGGAAGTAATGTTATGTAAGACTGGAATCTAGGGCTTCTCTGGGTTAGGGGTAAGAATCCAAAGTGGATAAAGTAGGCAGAAAACAGGTGAGAAATGCTGCCTATGCTAAAATGCCCCATTGTCATTGTGTAAGCAGTGGCTAAGTGGTGAAGGCATTTTAAGGAAAAATGTATGTATTTATTTTTTTGAAAAATGTTCCTGGAACCAGGGTTGGCTAAACTTGGGTCAGAAAACATTACTTAGGTGGCTTTTGCTACTGTCTGGGTAAAGACGACCTAGTGAAAGGTTGAGGTTGTGGAGATGAAAACAAAGGAATGAATCAGAAAAATCTCTGAAACTTATTGAAAAACAAATAGTTCATTGAGTGTGAACCCAGCATGTTACCCTGTCTCTAGATGTGGTAATTGGTGAGTGATGATGCCACTAACTACCAGAGGAAATTCATGGGGCGGGGGCTGAAATTGAGATTCAGCAACAATGAATTCAATTTCAGACATGTTGAGTCTGAGGGAGCTGATTAAATATGCAGGTAGATTTTGGTTTGAAAGGGTAGTTGGAATGATGGCCTTAAGGTATGAATTTAGAAGTCACCAGCGTATAGTGAATGAATTTTATTTACCATATAAGGACATAGAACCACCTAGAAACTGAGAGAGAAAACAAATGGCAAGGAAGATGCCTGGGGATCAGTATTCAAAGCATGAATGGAGGAAGAGGGTGAATGCAGACACCAGGCGGGTGGGAGGAGTAGAGTGTAGAATCAGACGTCCAAGGAAGCGGAGGCAATTTCAAGGGACATGCAACAGTGCCAAGAGGAGAGGGCAAAACCACTGAAAAATGCTGATTGAAGGTGACAGTCAAACCATGGTGTTAATAGGACAGTAGGATGGAAACTAAGTGCAGTTGGTTTAAAGGGAAGGGTGAGAAAACATAAAGCAAGGATCAAATACAGTTTTCAAAAGCTCTGCTGTGAAGGAACCCGGGTAGGATGAGAAGGTGCATGACAGCTACTTGTGTGAAAGAAGGATGTGGATATCCTTATCTTTGCTTTAGAACATGGAACAGGATAGATACAAGATACTGAGAAGTGTGCTAAGTCCCTAGCAAGTTGATGTGCCTTCTGGCCTTTGATCTGTCAGGCACTGAAAAAGGCAATGATAAGGACAGCAACTGTACAGCAGTATGTTCCAAATGCTGTTCTGTGTGATGTTTTATATATGGAGATTTGTCTGCCTCTTATTGCTGCTCTGTGAAGTGGATCCTATTATTATCATTCCTGTTTTACTTGCAAGAAAAATATAACAGATAAGTTAAATAACCTGCTAAATTTGTGTTTTGCCCACTATATTGAACCCATGTATTAAATCAGAGCCACCAAAACAACATAGGAATACAAATCAGCAGATTTAAAACAGGCTTGGTTGAGAAGTGGTGTCTCAGGTATTTGCTGTAGACACAGGGTTCAGATGTCTATTATAGAGATGTCTTATATCCGTGGTATATGTTTTTGCAATTGTTTTACTTGTGAAGAAGCTGAAGATTGAGTCAAATGATACCCCTGTCAGGTTATTTCACTGTTAGCCTTTTTGGAAGAAGGTTTAGTAGGGAATACCAAGAAAGAGTTAGTCTGTGGTAACTGACCTGAACTAGTCATGAGAATTAAATTAAATGCTGGCAAATTATTTGGGGTGGAAATGAGAGTAGGGTGTTGGGGAGTTGAGGATGGAGATGGAGATGGTGCATTATTGAAATAGAGATGATCTTGACCACGTAGTTGGATTAAGCTTGAAATTTACTTTCAGGCAGTTGGTAGTGGAACCCATGAAATCTTGGGAAAACTTTTATATTTGTGGTACATTGTTCATCTTGATGCCTTAAGCTTTTCCTAGTTCCAGGCCTAGGACTCAACTAAGGTAACATTATTTGAAAATTTAGAAGAATAATGGGAATTTGTTAGTCGCTCACTCTAATATTGTCATTATTAACAGTAACAGAAATACTTATTCAGAACTTACTGGCACAGTGCCTACTGTTTTATACAAATGTCTCATTTTACCTTTATAAAAGTCCAGGAGATGACTCCCTTTTATCCTCACTTTGCTTGTGAGGAAACTCAGACTGTTGGACATAGTGTTCTCTGCCTAAGATCACAGAGCTGACAAGTGGCTCAGCCAATGTGGGAGCCAGGTGGTGTGATTTTCAAACCCAGACTCCAAAATAGACAGTGCCCAGAACTCTCCTAGTCCATCTGAGTTGGCTGAGGGCTACCAAGTCCACAGGTAAGAAGATCAGCCTTAGAAAAAAACCTTTAAATTCTACTCACTATAGGTATTTAGGGATTGGCTTGTGAAAATGAACATTAGAGAGAAGTTGAGCCTCATTACAAATAATTAAAAGTGACATTAAAGTAAAAAGGCTTCCTATGACTTTATCTTGCCCAACTAGGCCATTAGAAGTATATCTTTAATTTTTCACCATCAAAGGTTTTGGGAATGTATATGTACTTTTGCATTTAGATCTTTGTGGGCTAAAATTTTGGTGAAGAAAGACCCAACTAGCCATAGAAAGGATCTTGAGACAATGATTGTTGATATAACAGTGACTTCCTCCATGTACCTCATCAATGCTGTGTACTAAAGACAGCACTGACACTGATTTCAACTTGTGGAGTTAATAACCTGATGGGGGAGGTAAAAATTATGCAAACTCACCAAAAATATTTAATTTCCATTTCACTGGATTTTGAAAACTAAGTTTTCTTCCATCCTTAGAGTCACACCAGCTCTGTGTGCAAAACTACACACTCAATGCATTAAAATAGCTGAAGAAATAAGCATGAAAAATAATTTTGTAAAACCCATAAAATACAGTTTAAAATGCTGATGTGTAGAAAATTTCAAAGTGGTGAACTTTAGTTTCCCCCTTTTCTACGTATTTATGTTGAAATTATTATGAAACAGACATAAATACTGATCTTGGACAGTAGTGATATGGGAACTCTTTAAAAAAATATGTATCATTGCTGCTTTAATGCCCTCCATTTCTGCTGTATTGTCCTGGAAACCTGATAAAGGAGACCTTCTAAGAAAAATTTGGAAAAATAGCAGCTAAACAGAAGGATCTCCAAACCACTTTTTTTCTTGTAGTTCTCTTTTTTTCCCCAAAGCCAAACCAAAAGTTATGAAAGATATATTCAAACCTTTATTAAAAATTTTGTTTTGCATTTGATATGAAAACCGGGTGAAAGTTCTTAAGTAACGGATTTACTCTAAACCTTAATCCACAGTTAATTATCTCCCATGAGCTCAGATTGGATGAAATTACCCATCAAGTCCCAACTGTGTAGGTCCCTGGAAAATTCATAAAGTGAAATTTACACCCTATTGGGTTCTCAAAAGAATGTTCCTGTATTTGACTGCATTTATGTGGGCTGTTTGACAGCGGCACACTGATGGTATCGAGATCATTTTTATTTTGAATTTTTTATATATATATAAAATTTAAAAGTTATATATAAATATAAATATTTATATTTATATACATATATATGTATATAAATGCTTTCCTTTCCCACTGATTTTTCCTACAGGCCCAATTTGAACTTCAGGCATTTCATATCCGGGGTGAGCATGCAGTGATAACAGCGAGACTAGAAGAAACCATTGAAAATCTTAAACACGAGTTAGAACACAGATGGCGAGGAGGAGGTGAAGAGATGAGAGATGTCTGCATCTCCACCGATGATGGCTGCCCTCCAAAGGCCTACAGAAATGTGTGTGTCCAGACAGACAGAGAGACCTTCCTCAAACCCTGTGAAGGTGAAAGCAAGACCACCAGAAGTAACCAAATAGTACCCAAAAAGCTGAATATCTCCTCTTTAAGTCAGCTTTCTCCCCCAAATGACAACAAAGACATTCATGTACCACTTCCAACTGGGGAAGGCATCTCATCAAATCAGCAAAAGATATCACCCCCGCCTCCTCCACCGCCTCCACCGCCTCTACCCCCTACCATCCCTCCCCCTCCACCCCTCCCGCCTGGACTTGGATCTCTGCCACCAGCGCCTCCACCACCACCTGTGACTGCTGGGCCACCACCACCTCCTCCTCCGCCCCCTCCACCACCTCCACTACCTCCAAGTGCAGGACCTCCCCTACCTCCTCCCCCACCACCACTACCTAATTCCCCAGCTCTACCCAGCAGTGGGGGACCTCCTCCTGCTCCAACACCCCCTGGACTTGTACCCCCACCTCCTCCTGGACTCTTCTTTGGACTCAGCTCTTCTTCTAGCCAGTGTCCTCGGAAACCAGCCATTGAGCCCAGTTGTCCTATGAAGCCTTTGTACTGGACTAGAATACAAATAAGTGATAAGAGGTAAGCTCTTCCCTGGTCTGTTCTCATCTTGTGAATTCTAAAGATTTTGTCCACTTGAATGTGATACAAGAATTCCTTAGATAAATAATCAGGTTGCAATGTTTAGGGAGAAGATCCATCTCTACCAGGTCCTCTCGTTACACTCTACAAATTGATGCTGGGAGAAACATGTGTTCAGTGTCTGATTCTTCTCTAAGATAATCACTTTGTAGATTTGACAAGAATCCAGGTCTAAGCGAGGGACTTCTCCAGTATACCTGTAACTAATGAGTAATCATAAAGAAACTGAATCTATACTATATATTCACTGAGGACTTTTAGGGTATCTTTTATGATATACTTTTATTTTGTTTTGTTTTTAGATGCTATCACCAGCCTTATGTTCTGGATATTTAAGTTATGTGTATTTTTCAGTTTTTGTTAAAAGAATGAGACATGGCTGACTTATTAGTTCTTTAGATCAGAAAAAAAGTCCTAAAATATATATTCCCTGTGCTTGAACTCTAGTTCATCTACCTGCTCATATCCTTGCATCTTTATTCCTTGTTTTCCTTCAGAGAAAGTACTAGTGTGTGTATAACTAACATGGATAGACAGATGGCACCTTTTCATTTGTATTGTGATTAAATTTGGCCCGAAAGGCAACACTATCTGGTGGCTCAGAAACTTCCTTGCAAACAGATCTGAGTCTCGTTACTTCTGCCTAGGTTCTGAGCCTGTCAGGAAGACAATGAAAGATGTTGAGTTATTTCTTGACCACTTTTTTAGTTTTGGAGTTTGTTTGCAAAGAACATTAATAGAGAACACATTTCTAAACTTATTCCCTAAATCAAGATGTGGTAGTGAATTTTTAAGTTGATACAACATTTTGCTTAGAGAAGGCAGGACACTAATCAAAATAACATGCGGCTCACAATTATAAACAACCAGAACTTGCAGGAGGAGAAATGGAGAATGCCTTAAAACCATGTGAAAATAAACCAAGATATTATTTGTAGACTATCTTGTTATTTTTTAAACGCCAATTCTTATAATTTCCCAAATGAATGCCTAAAAAAAATGAGATCATCTTGAAATAACTCCTATCATTAACTAACATGCTAGTAGTCTCCTTTCCCATCTGAGACTCAGGTATGTCCTGAGAAATGAGTTCCCAGAAAATTTATTTTGAGTTGTGTTCCTTTATTAGTGTTCTCAAATTTGTGTGCAGTCATTCCAGGGTGATGAATCCCACCTGTTGGCCCTGGAGTAGTGTGTTTGGCAGCACACAGAGCTGTTCCACACCTGTGTCTCACTAGTCTGACTTCATTCCCTGAGAGACTTCATGAACAACCAATATCACAGACCATAGCAGCCATGTAACAATTTCACTGGAAGATATGGGCCATGTGCCCACTACTCAAGGTGGGATAAAGTCAGGCTGGGAATAGTTGTTGCACATTTTATTCCTTTTATCATTTGCCATTTATTTATTTGCACTGGACATTGAACCCAGAAGAACTTTGTGTATGCTAGGCAAGTGATCTACCACTGAGCTACATCCTCAGCCTTGTAGTTCACCATTTTGAGAAAGAAAACAATTTAATACTTGGAATACTCAATTCCTCCTAGTTTTTCGATCTATCTAGAGCTTTATTTTTGAGCAAAATGAAAAGGTGATGAATGGGACATCGAGAGAGCTGGTACTTGGTGAATGTGTCAGCCTGGAGCCTGAGTGCTGGCTGTGGGTCATGTTAAGACCCCAGCATGGCCACTTCCTATAGGCACCACACTTTCAGTCCTTTTCATCTTGAGTCCCTCAAAATACTTTGTACCTGCGAGCACAACTGCTTTTTTATTTTCCCCAGTGAAAATGATTTGGAGAGTCTGAATAGTATTCACTAATGAGTAAAATGAAAATCACTTGGGAGGTGAGATGATATTTTAATATTTTGTGCAGCTAGAGGGGCGAGCACTTTGTATAATAGATACATGATAAATTTTGTTCTTGATCTTCTGGGAAACCGGGAACAAAATGTGAATTCAGCTCACCCACCAAAATTCCTTTTTACCACTTGCATGAACTGATTTGTTTTTTTCTTTTGCTACTTTTCCTTCTTTGATGTCTATTTTTCGATTTCTAGAGTAGGAAAGGCACATTTGAAGAAAAACAAATCCTCTTCTAATTACTTTTCCAGCTTACTCTAGTAAGTTTGGTCTTCCCTGCCCACTTCCACCTTTTCTTCCCTTTTCAGCTATAATTGTGTGTTCAGTGGTCAGAAAACAGTTGACCATTATGGCAGGTCATCCTGTGTGAGCAAGTCCTTGTTACTGCCCTACAACTCTTCAGAGAAGGTGTTCCAGAATTCATTTATTTAGAATTGGAAATGCTTTTCCCACAGAAACTGTGCCATAAATGGTAATGAGGTGCTCAATTTGACTCTCAAATTCAATTTGCTCCAGAATATCAGTGAATTATAACACTAGCCATACTGGCCTGAGTCCAGCGTCAATGGAGCTGACCAGCCAGGTTGAGGAAAGATAGGTGTGACCTGTCTGCCTGATTACAGCAACACTTCCTTGCAGGCACTCCTGCTTACCTGCCCAGAATCTGCCTGAAGCCCAGACCAGTAGCCCTTACCAGGGCTCGCTCTCCTAATCAAGATCCCCCTTTCTGGCAGGTGCAGTGGCGCACACCTATAATCACGGTGGTTCAGGAGGCTGAGGCAAGAGGATCATGAGTTTAAATCCATCCTCAGCAACTTACTGAGGCCCTAAGCAATTCAATGAGACTCTGCCTCAAAATAAAAAATAAAAAGGGCTGGGGGTGTGGTTTAGTGTTCGAGTGCCCCTGATTCAATCCCTGGTAACTGCCCCTTCACCCCCCTGCCAAAAAAAGATCCCCCTTTCCTCAATGCAGCTGAGACGAGACTTTAACATAATATTATCCATAATGGTATTTCATAATTTGAAATTCAAATTCAGATTTCAAGTCAAAATTAATTGAGTCATAGAAGGTGTGACTGAGGAAGGAACACAGATGACTCACCTCATTGGGACTGTTCTAGCTCTTGGGATGAGCCATGCTTTCTCAGGTGTTTATTATATTGTTATACTTTATAACTTAAGTATGTCCTATATATATTGTTAGATGGCTCAACTATTATATTAGAAAAATTATAATTTAAAAAAGTGGAAGGAAAAATGGAATGTGTCCAGAACCAAAATATCATCTTTCATGAGAAAAACAGACCTTTTGTCTCAGCCTCTGGAGCCATTGGGATTATAGGCATGCACCACAGCACCCTGTTGGAGGTGGGGTATTATTAATCAAATACTTTTAAATGGGTACAGACTACACACATACTAACGACTTTGAACTAAGTTTACTTAATCCTGAAAATTATATTTAAAACCCATAGAAAAAGTCCAATTAGGGCAGATCTTTACCTTACTACTCCATTTTCAGGTCCTTTAAGAATGTCTATGTCTCAGAATTGGTTATCTCTTCAATGATGCCCACTTTTGCCTGTCATGTGATAGAAATGTTCCAGATTTAGGAGAACCTTGTGACCACAACCTCAGTCCCAGGACTTCTATTCCCAAAATGTTTCCCTAGAGCTTTCTGATTACCTAATGACTATACTTTTTTTTGGAAGTGTGTGTTTGTGTGTGTTTAAATATTTTATGGTGTATTTTGACTTAAAGTATAGCATAAAAGATTTCCTCCAAACTTTATGAGGGCTTTATATTTTTTACATTAAATAAAAATGAATTAGAAGGAGCTATAATTGTATTATATTCTCTTCTGCTTTTGTTCTGAAGGTTAACTTGCCATTTTCTCATTTAAGCCAAAATGCTACACCGACCTTATGGGATTCCTTAGAAGAACCTGATATTCGGGACACTAGTGAATTTGAGTATTTATTCTCCAAAGACACAACTCAACAGAAGAAAAAACCTCTGTCAGAGACCTATGAGAAAAAAAACAAGGTCAAAAAGGTATTGAGTGATTATAGTAATGGTTTTAATTACATATGCATTTTGCCTCTGTGGGAATATATTATGTACTGCCGCTTTACTTTCCCTCTGTTTTCAGGAAATGTTTTGGAAGGTTTTGAGTCATAAATGGCAAAAGGGAACCAATAATGAAAGAAATCTGTGCTTGCTATTTTGGTTGTATCTTCTGAATTTTCAAAATTTAACCTGGATTCTTTCACAATTAATTCTGTTGGGAAAAAAATGTAATATTTAATTTGTTGTAAAGTGAAAGTAGTTTGTAAGCTATATGAAAAACAGGGTTCAGCCAGGCATATTGGCACAGGCCTATAATCCCAGTAGCTCAGGAGGCTGAGGCAGGAGGATCACCAAGTTCAAAGTCAGCCTTGGCAACTTAGCGAGGCCTTAAGCAACTCAGTGTCTCCAAATAAAATATTTAAAAAGGGCTGAGGATGTGGCTCAGTAGTTAAGTACCCCTGGTTTTAATCCCTGGTACCAAAAAAGAAAAAAAAAGGAAAGAAAAACAGGATTTATTTATAAATTTATTCATTTAATGAATATTTACTGGGATCTTATGGTGCCCAGGTGGTTCTAGGCCTACACTGTACAGTACAACTATGTAGCTAGATAAGTAATAAATAAAATAGATATTCACTTTCATTATCCACATTTCAGCTCTGTCCTTGTGACTTGTGACTACCATATGGAATAGTGCAGAAATCAAACATTTCTATGATTACAGAAATTTCAGATGAACAACGTTGTCTAAGTATTTGGAATATTTTGGTTAAAAAAGCAATGAAACTAGTGATCCTTGCCTGTAGAGCCCATATTAACCATCAACATTGAAAACAAACCTTGTCAGTCCCCTCGTGGAGAAGTGGAGCAGAGTGAGGCGTGCCAGCTTTGCAAGGTTCTCACTGAGGAGGTGATTTCTCAGCAAACGTGAGAACTATGAGCCGCTGGTCATCTTTGAGAGAATGAGTTTACCATCCCAGCAGTCAGGCAGACGTGAGGCAGACTGTCTGTGGGGTCTAAATCAAAAGCACTAGGCCCTTTAACTTCGTGTACCCTAGTCCCCGAGCCATAGCACAAGGTGAAGTCTGCAGAGGTTTGGAATTGTCCCCTCCAAAGGTCCATGTATCAAAGACTTGGCTCCCAAGTTCCTGTTAGTAGAAGTTGGTGAGACCTTTAGGAGCTGGAGCCTAGCAAGAGGTCTTTAGGACATTGGAAGTATGCCCTTGAAAGATAATATGGGATTTGAATCTTTTCCTCTCTCTCTTGATCATGAAGTGAGTAGTTAGTTCTGTTGTGCACCCCTGTTCTGATGTGCTGCCCTTGACAGAGGCCTGAAGCAATGGGGCCACCTGATCTTTTCATTGAACCTCCAAAACCGTGGGCCAAAGTAAACCTTTTCCTTCTGTAAGTTAATTATCTCAGGTATTTTGTTACAGTGACAAAAGCTAAAAACAACATCCACTCATACTACTAGTCTAAGTGATGATTAAATGAAGTAAATGTGTGTGTTAGGTTCATTATAGTTCCTGGCACACAATCAGTCCTTAACCTATGATAGCTAATGGCATTTTTGCCACTGCTACTATTTCTCTGTATTGCTGTTTTGATAATAGCAGAGGTGATGTTAAGAAGACAATAGAATAGTTGTGATGTTGATTTTCTTTTTTTTAAATTATTATTCTTTTGGGATATATATGACAGTAGAGTATAATTTGACATATATACCTGGAATATAACTTATTCTAATTAGGATTCTATTCTTGTGGTTTTACAGGATGTAGAGTTACCCTGGTCATGTATTAATATACAAGAATAGGAAAGTTTTGTATGATTAATTCTACTGTCTTTCCTATTCCTCTCACCCCTCCCTTCCCTTTATTCCCCTAGGTCTAATCCACTGAACTTCTATTCTTCCCCTCTTCACCCTCCCTTGTTGTGGGTTAGCATCCAAAAATCAGAGATAACATTTGGTCTTTGGTTTTTTGGGATTGGTTTATTTCACTTAGCATGATATTCTCCAAGTCCATCTATTTTCTAGAAAATGCTGTAATTTCATTTTTTTTTTAATGCCTGAGTAATGTTCCATTGTGTACATGTACCACATTTACTTTATCCATTCATCTGTTGAAGGGAACCTAGGTTGGTTCCATAGTTTGCCTATTGTGAATTGAGTTGCTATAAACATTGATGTGGCTGCATCACTGTAGTATGCTGATTTTAAGTCCTTTGAGTATAAGGCTTGGAGTAGGATAACTGGGTCAAATTATAGTTCCATTCCAAGTTTTTTGAGGAATCTCCATACTGCTTTACAGAGTGGTTACATGAATTTATAGTCCTACCAGCATTATATGAGTGAACATTTTCTCCCACATCCTTACCAATATTTGTTGTTACTTGTATTCTTGATAATTGCCATTCTGACTAGAGTGAGATATGAAATCTCAGTGTAGTTTTAATTTGCATTTCTCTTTTTGCTAAAGAAGTTAAACATTTTTTCATATATTTTTGACCATTTATGTTTCTTCTTTTGTGAAGTGCTTGTTTGCCATGACCCGTGCATCAAGAACAAAGGATTTTGAGTAGGGGCGATAGGAGATTAAGAAAAACACAGAGACAAAGAAAAACACCGAGACATTTTTAAGAAATGCTGGGGCCAGGTGGGATACTGTCATCTGATGGAGGAATAGTGACCCAGAACTAACTCAGCATGCTTATTATATAGGATCTCATAATCCAAAAGGTAAACTACAGAAGCTCTGTAAATTATTCAAGACTTGTGAGTTGTCAGGAGGCTTCTTTTGCACTAAAAAGTTTCAGAGCTAGAAACATTTTGTAGCTGTTCTGCTATTACAGTGTTAGGAGCCTCCTGTGGCTATCCTCCTGTACCAGAAAACCCATTGTACTGGAACGTCGGATAACTATTCATATCAGAGGCCTTACCAAGGCTGCTCACATCCTCACCTTTGGTAAGGAATGTTTCCCAGGCTTGGCTTTTGCCTACACCACACTGTCACCTGCTGACATTTGAGAGCTCATTTGCTCTCCATACTTGTTCAGTTCCTTTGCCCATTTATTGATTGCGTTATTTGTTTTTTTGTGTTGAGGTTTTGAGTTCTTTGTATATCCCGGAGATTAATGCTATATCTGAGGATGTAGGTGGCAAAGGTTTTCTCCCATTCTTGATTGTTTCTTTAATTTGAATCCATCCTATTTATTGATTCTTGATTTTACTTCTTCCCCTTTAGGAGTCTTATTGAGGAAGTTGGTTCCTAAGTGGCATGATAGCAATTTGGGGCTACCTTTTCTTCTAGTAGGTGCAGGGTCTCAGTTCCAGTGCCTAAGTCCTTGATCCACTTTGAGTTGAGTTTTGTGCAGGTTGAGAGATAGAGGTTCAATTTCATTCTACTACATATGGATTTCCAGTTTTCCCATCACCATTATTGAAGAGGCTATCTTTTCTCCAATGTATGTTTATGGTGCCTTTGTCTAGTATGAGTTAACTGTATTTATTTATTTTTATATTTTTCCCTTAGTTGTTGCTAGATCTTTATTTTATTTATTTTTATGTGGTGCTGAGAATCAAACCCAGTGCCTCACACTTGCAAGGCAAGTACGCTACTGCTGAGCCCCAGTCCCGAGTTAACTGTATTTATATAGGTTTTTCTCTGTGTCTTCTATTATGTTTCATTGATCTTCATGCCTGTTTTTCTTGTGCCAATATCATGCTGTTTTTTGTTACTATAGCTCTGTAGTGTAATTTAAGGTGTGTTATTGTGATGCCTCCTGCTTCACTTCTCTCTCTAAGGATTGCTTTGGCTGTTTGGGCCTCTTATTTTTTTCCCAATGAATTTTATGATTGGTTTTCCTATTTCTATGAAGAACATCACTGGAATTTTAATAGGAATTGCATTAAATCTGTATAGCGCTTTTGGTGGTATGGCTATTTTGATGATATTAATTCTGCCTATCCAAGAACATAGAAGATCTTTCCATTTTCTGAGGTCTTCCTCAACTTCTTTCTTTAGTGTTCTGTAGTTTTGATTGTAAAGGCCTTTTCACAAAATTAACACCCATAAATCAATTGTGTCCCTATACACCAATGATGAATCAGTTGAAAGAGAAATCAGGAAAATTATCCCACACAATAGACTGATGTTGATTTTCTATGTGAGCTTTGAGCTAGTTGTCTTCCTCCTTGCATTTTTCCCTCTTCTTTAAAACATGATTAACAATATTTAAATCTACCCAAACCTTCAGGATGTTATAAGATTCAAATCCATGAGAATTTGAGGAAGTGTTTTAAAAGGTGCATAATATCGAATGATGTTACTATCATCAACATTTCCTTCTTAAATTATATGATGGGGTTCATCTATTACTTCATAACTTGAGCAACATTATGATTATGAAATTGCAACTTACAGAGAAAAAATTCAAAAACTAGCTTTCTGCTAGTCATATCAGATTTTTCCATTGATTTGAATTATGAGTGAAAATCATGATGAAGTTTTTTTATTTCTTAAATTCATAAGAATTGTATTACCATGATAAAATACTCTCAATTGTTGGATAGCAGAGCAAATCTTTTAAGAGAACATTTTGCCTGCAATAGTTTGAATTTTTCTAATAAAACAGTATGTCCCAGGCAAGAAGTCAGTTGATATACTGTAATGTGCATTCCCATCCAGGAGATTTGTATAGGATGTAGTACATCTGTGCCTTAAAATGCCATCTATAGAAACAGAAGACTATTGTTACTACATAAAACACAAAGGAAAAAATTTTACATTCTATAAACAGCCTCCATTTACCTCTCTTGGGAAAACTTCTTTGGTTAACTGAAAGTTCTGAATGTTGTACAGTACCATACTAAATTTACTTGTGCTTTCTATTTCTTCTTAGATTGCTGTCACTCCCTTAGTTTCGCTCTGGTACCATATTATTCACCCGCAAAATGAAATATTTCCATTTTGGTGAATGAATGT